AAAAAAAAAAAAAAAAAAAAATCGAGTTAGAATAGCATATGCATACATGGATCAAAAACTTAGTCAACAACGTTGTTATTCATGGTTCGTGAATCCCATTTCAGTTTTTATAGCGCCAACTGTTACCTGGAGAAAATGCTCCAAAGAACAAAAATTCAATAGAAGATGGAGATATAGATTTACCATTATCTTGTAACCAGCTTCCTTCTGATCTTGGAGGCATTCCTTGTGCCTGACCACTGGATGTTGCTTCTCCAGGTCTCATTTTCTAATGTGATGCAGCTTGTTTAACAATAAGATGTCAGAAAAAATGATTCAAAAGGCGAAACCCGTTATATATAAGAAATAAAGGCCTTAATTACACAAATATTATGAGAAATTTGATCAAATTTACTAATATTTACCTCTTGTGGAATAAATGGTAATGTAATTTCTTTTGACATCAAAGGAGGTAAACAAAGAAAAGAACCACAAAAAGAATAGCGTGCCATTTTGGCAATACTTTTGAAAAGATTTTTGTGCATATTCTTTTCTTGTTTCTTTCTTCCTCTGTTTCATTATGTCAAAAAATTTGAATTTCAATCAAACATAAAGCATAAGTGAAATGAATACTGAAGCAATCATCTAGCTCCTACATCTTGCTCTTATTCATTCTTTGAATTTCAATCAAACATATGGTGTAAATGAGTATTGAGCAAGTGATTATTTATTCTTTATGTTTAATCTTTGAGCACCAAAAGCTTCAGCTCATCTTACCTTAATATTAACTTCATATAAAATTACTGTGCTAACAAAGTTCCCCCTGATAATCTCAAATAAATACCCAATGGACATTCATTAAATTCATCAATACATACCCCAATATGCTTCAATTAAGTAGTCTAATTATTAATTATTGTTAGTTATATATAAAATTATTATAATAACAATTTTTTTTTAAAATATCAAATAAATACTCATTAAACTTTGATTAAGTAGTCTAATTATAAATGTAGTTGGCTTAACACTGATGTTAGAACAAAAGATTATAAAGACAAAATACGTTATACTTATATGAAGAAATTATGCCTTAATTACACAAATATTATGAGAAATTTGATCAAATTTACGGGTATTTTCCTCTTGTCAAATAAATAATAATGTAATTCCTATGACATCAAAAGAGGCAAACAAAAGAAGAATAAAATGAAGAATATTGGATGAAGCGTGACATGTTGGCAACCATCTTAAAAATATTTGTGCACTTATTCTTTTCCTGTTTCTTTCTTCCTCTGTCTTTTATTATGTCACACAGAATCTGAATTTCATTCAAGTATAAAGCGTAGACAAGTACTTAAGCAAGCGTCTAACTCTTGCATCCTACTTTATTCATTCTTTGAATTTCAAACAAGCATAAAGCATAATTGAGTACTGAGCAAGTGACTACTCATTCTT